TGCTCCACAATTTTAACTGTATGTTTGTTACAAACAAGTTGCCATTGGAGGCTCTGAGTGGGGAGATTGGGCTGTGCATCAGACAGACCTGGAGATGAATCCTTTCTCTCCCTGTTACTAGTTGTGTTGACCATGCACAAGCCAACCAACCTTTCTAAGCCTTGGTTGTCTCATCTGCAAAATGGACATAACAGTGATAATTATACCACTGGGGGTTTTACTGTAAGGGTTTAATCACATACGGGTGTAAAGTGTCTAATACTGTCCTTGAACGATGATGATGATGATGAACAACGATGATGATGATGGCGATTGGTGCCACACTTCCATTCTGAGGAATCTCTATTTAAAAAAAGAGGCCCACTTTCTCAGCTCCCTTCTAGTGTCTAATCATCCTAGATTTGGACACTGAGCAAATGAACAAGTGGGCACTCTGAGCCCAGGGGGAAGACGTGCCTGGAGACAGAAGGGCATTGGTGTTCCACACAGTGGTCAGAGGGGGCATGAAGGGAACAGAGGGGGCAGAAGAACGATGGCTGTCTCCTTACAGTGGGCAAGGGCAGCTGTAGTGTCCTGAGAGTCAGAATGACTGAAGGACGAGACGGATACTTTCAATGACATCTCTCATGGGCCTGCATGACAGCCTCACATGGTATTCTGTTTTACTGATGAAGAAACCAGGAAGCAACAGGCCCAAGGTCTCAAAGCTGGGAATTGGCTGGGCAGGATTCCCAGGCAAGGCCACCTTCCCACCTCCAGTCTAGCCTGTCTGGGCCAGGCTGGGCTAACAGGTTGGGGGTGGGTTCAGGAGTCCAACAAGTGGCCTGGCCCAGTGGCTGTCTGGGGTCTGTCTCCTCCTCTCCGCCCATCAGCCTGGGCCATTACAGGAGTCTCCCATCTGGCCTATTTCTCCATCCCCCTCTTCCCATCTTGGTTCACACCTCACTCAGGCAAAGAAACACAACTGACCATGTTCTTCTGTGGTATAATAACCTTCCGTTACCCACAAGCCTGCCTCTCACACTGGTCAGTGCTCTCAGGAGAGGAGGCAGCCATCTTTCTGAAGTGACGATGACTCTTGTTTTCAAGTTATATCAAATACATGCTGTCAAGTGGAATGCAAAATGTCCAGGCATTTTTCTCAGAGGAGGAGCTGTTTTGGGTGAAGCCTCAAAACAGATGTGTGTACACTGGTGGGGGCATTCTTCACAGAAACAATTTCACCAGCCTCAGAGGTAAGAAACTCACAGTCTGTTCCAGCAAGCCCTGACACAGTGGGGCCCACTGCCTTTCTGGTTGTGCTTCCCTGACACCTGGGAGTGCTCTATACTACAGTCAGAACTATCTTGAGGCCTTTTCCCTTACAGCAGAGTGACCTGCTGCCCCTCTGAATAGAATTGTCTTCCTATTCACCCTCTGCTACTTTTTAACCTGAAAAACTCCTAGTTATCATTTAAGTCTAATTTCATGTCCTCTCCCCCAAGAAGCCCTCCTGGATTCCACCCCTCCTTGCAGTGCTCCCCTCCCAGCATCCTGCTCTCCCTTCTTCACAGCTTCTTACCATAGTCTGCTGTGACCTCCACTTTGAGGCACCTCTCCAGGAGATTAGGAGCAAATTGAGGTCAGGGAGTTCACCATGAATTCAGCCTTCCTTGTTCATTCATCACACACTAGGAGCCCCTCTCTGTGCCAGGCTGTGAGCTCTATGTAGGGACAACTCAGCATGTCCTCAGAGGAGCTCTGACCCCAAGTAGAGACAAACTGTCCACGCATATACTGATTGGTATATTAAAACCAGCAAAAAGCAAAACCTCTTGCTGAACCCAACATGGCCAGGCCTTCTGCTTAGGGGTGAGGATCCAGAAAAGAGCAAGACCTGTGCCTACCGGCAAGGGATTCCCAGTCTGACCAGTGGCCAGTGGAAACCACTAAGCTTACGGTGAGTCTTAAGCTTATGGCTGTGGGGCACCAAGTCAAGTGACTTTTGCTTTATTGTGGATGACAATGAATGAATGAATGAATGAATTTTTTCTCTCTCTCTCTTTTAGGGAACTTGTGAGGTTGTAACCATGAATGGGCTCTGTAAATCAAGGCACCCAATAAATGACTGATCAGTCAGTCGATTGAGATGTCACCCATGAGGTGATATAGCAGCAAAAGGGCTATATTCTGGTCTCCACAATCCTGGACTTTCTCAGTGGGGAGTAAATCTACTCTGACCATGGCCAGCTAGAGCGGACCTGCAGCTCTTGGCTGCAAGGCCTCCTGCAAACTCCCAGTAAAAGGCAGCAGTTCTCAGGCCTGCCTCCCAAGAGGGTCATGAGCATTAATTAGTTACCATTGGTAAAGTGCTCTGAAGATGTGGGGGTGTATAAACACGGCAACTCATTAGGCCTCTCCACACCATGAGGCTCTACAATCAGGAAGAGCTAATTGAGAAATAATTAACACCTCAGGGTGCAGAGGACGATGCCTGGCTTTTCTAGGATTGGAAGGGATGTAATAAAGTGCATGGAGAGCAGGAAGAATTATAAGGCTACTTCAGATCCCAAAATATACTAAAGATTATTCGCCTTCTGCCCCCAGGGAAGAGTGCGGGGACTGTTGCCCCAGTAAAGCCTTTGGGACTTCATTCCTTGGGAAAGCCCAGAGCACAGTGCTGGGCTACAGAGGCTGAGTGATGCTCTTCACGCAAAAAAGCCCAGGTCCAGCCCAGGTCTGTCCGGCATCTAGCATGTGAGCAGATGCCAGGTGTGGAACTCATCAAGTGGTATTTTCCTCAGTTGTAAGACCCAGATGATGATGTGTCTATCATCCTCCTGCCCCAGCACCAGTGTGTCTGATGTCCTTCCTCTACGTCAGCAGATCTAGCCCCGGCTTTGTGTTAGGATCATGGGGCACTATAAGTAGTGACCAGCATCTTGGGGCTGGGACTGGGAGGCACACAGTGATTCCCAGTTCAGTCAAAGTTAAGAATCATTGCTTTGGTTTGTATATCAGGCACTGTGTTGGGAGTTGTAGAAAACTGAACATGTAAACCCTACCACACTCAATGCTCCCCTCACAATAGCTCATCATTCTTGATTCAGTGTGTGGGAGTGTCCTGGACATTCCACTCCAATCTCACTGCCATTCTTGTGCTGCCAAACCTCACCCATCCTTTAGGCTCGGTGTGAAGCTCACCTCCTCAGGAAGCCCTCCTTCCCTGTGTCCCCACAGGACTGCTCTCGGCCCTATTACAGCACTGATCACACAGTGTTGTTTCTGGCAGATCCTGGTGGGCTGAGGGCTTCTTGGGGGCAGTATCAGAATCACCAGAGTCTTGCACTGGGTCTGGTATCTTTTAGGCTCTGAATAAATTGTAACAGTTATAAGTTTGGTAGAGTTATATGATATGCAACTCCCATCTCAGGGCATTTGCACTTATTGTTCCCTGTGTCTGGAGTATTTTTCTCCCAGATATCTGCAAGTCTCTCTCAACTCCTTCAGGTCTTTGCTAAAATGTCACCTTCTCCCCCAAACTTCCCCTGATCCTCCTGTTTTAAGTGGTAACCACTCGACCACCAAGCCTTTCCCTTCTTTAATTAGTTTTTCTCCATAGCATTTAAAACCATCTGACTAATGGGTCCTGTCTTTATACAAAATTGTTATAATTAATTTATCATGGAGTTTTTACATTAATTTTAAAAATTCAGGGATTGACATACTACTATATATAAAGTGAAAGTGAAAGTGTGAGTCGTTAAGTCTGTCTGACTCTGCGACCCCACGGACTGTAGCCCACCAGTCCATGGGTTTCCCTGGTGGTTCAGATGGTAAAGAATCTGTGTGCAATGCAGGAGACTGGTTTGATCCCTGAGTTGGGAAAATCCCCTGGAGAAAGGAATGGCTACCCACTCCACTATGCTTGCCTGGAGAATTCCACGGACAGAGGAGCCTGGTGGGCTACAGTCCACGGAGGCACAAAGAGTTGGACACTACTGAGCGACTCTATGTAAAGTAGATAACTAGTAAGGAACTACCACATAGTACAGAGAACTCAACTCAATACTCTGTAATGAACTATATGGGAAAATAACCTAACAAAGAGTGGATATATGTATGTGTATAACTGATTCACTTTGCTGTACATCAAAACTAACACAACATTGTAAATCAACTATACACCAATAAAAATTTGAAAAATAAAACGTAATTGTATTAAAAAACCATTGGTCTTGATCCCTGAGTTCTTTGACCTCCCCTTAAAGTTCACCATCTTGGATAATTGACTAGAACGTAAGCTACACTGAATGCAGGGAACTTTGTCTATTTTGTTTACTATTCCTCGTTTCCACAAGCGGCTGGTACCTGCTTGCTGTTGTTCACTCAGTCGTGTCCGACTCTTTGCGACCCCATGGACTGCAGCACGCCAGGCTTCCCTGTCTTTTGCCATCTTCTGGAGCTTGCTCAAACTCATGTCCACTGAGTCCGTGATGCCATCGAACCATCTCGTCCTCCTCCTGCCTTCAATCTTTCCCAGCATTAGGGTCTTTTGGTACGTGGTAGCTGCTCAAAAAATATTTCGTGGAAGTTTGACTTAGTGTCTTTAAGACTAAATAGAATGCCTTATTTCAATTCTTTAAAATTTTAAATTTATTTAAATCGAAAGCCTGTAAAATCTTAGGGCAGATTCGAAGCCGCATTGCCCATTGTTGTCATAGTTACACACTCCCCAGCGGTTCTCCCATTCCAACATAGAGGCGGGCCCTGGGCTCCAGCACGGGAACACCGGACTCCAAAACCTACCAGATCGGCCTTGATCATAGAGTTACACCTCCCTCAATCCTAGAGGGCACTTCCGGGACTGTGATTTACTTATTGCTGCCTAGGCCAATCTACGAGCGCGGTCTCTCTCCTTGGCTAAGTTTCCGGCAAACCTTTCACCGGAGTCGAGTGGGGTGGGGCCAGGCCCCGAGAGCGCGGCTTTGTGATTGGTGGGGAGGGTAAGGGGCGGGCTTGTGCTACCACGCCTCTGGCGCAGGCGCGGTGGTTTGTGTGGCGGTGTCTGCCTGGGCGAAGTTCCCTGGGATTACGGTTGGTGAATGGGGATAGCAGTGAGGGCTGACGGGCGGGCGGGACACTGCGGAAGAAGAGAGGGCTCGGTTCTGGGCGCGGAAACCGAGGACTCTGGTGTCAGTTTTTCCACGTGCTTCCCGTCCCTAGATTGGAACGGGGTCACAGTCACATAAACTCTTGAATAATTTTCGTTTCTTAGTCTGTTTCCTCCATTGTGAAATAGCAGGATTTCCATATGTGCCTCGGGTCTTTGTGACCAGTAACTTGTGAGAAATACAAGTTTTCTGCTCACACCCCAGACCTACTGACTCAGAAACTGGCGATGAGGCCCCACAAGCCCTCCAGGTGATTCTGATGCTTGCCGAAATTTCACAGCTGCTGGACCACTGTAATGATGGGGGTCGACTTGAGAGAAGTCTTGGAGACAGACTCACTTGCTTGAGGAGTCGTCCAGGGTGAAGGAATTTCTGGCTTGAGCCACGGGCCTGAGGTGGGACTTTTAAGTGATGGTTCCAGGTGTGAACCATATGTGTCCTGCCTCCAGGGCCTGCAGTTTTCCGAGCAGGCATACTAGGGCTCTGTGTCCATGCCTCCCAGCTGTCTTCAGGTCATGGGCCACAAAGGAAATGATAATATTTGTACAGTGCCCAGGGGAAGTTGTTGAAGCTGCTGAAAGTTGGAGGGGCCCAGCTGAAGGATTGAGGCTGCTGAAAGCTGGAGGGAACCACCTGGGGTGATTTGAGCTTCCCAGAGCTGAGGGGAATTAGTAACCTGTTCTCAGCATACTGCGGGAGAGCTTTTGTTCCGTGGGGTGTGCTGATGATTAGGGGTGCTCACTAAGCTTGGCAGTATAAATCAAGAACCTTGAAAGAGTTTATATCCTTTTGCATCTGCAAAATTGGTGGCTGTCATAGAAGTTTTATTGGAGGCCGATCTGTGCTGACTGCTGCAGGGTATCAGATCACAGTTAACACGTATTTCTGCTCGACTCGTTTTTCTTCAGGCACAAGCGCACCCCTGTGCCGGGGTGTCATGGAAGGGCTGCTGACAAGATGCAGAGCACTGCCCTCCCTGGCTACCTGCAGCCATCAACTCTCGCAGTATGCTCCTCAGAGGTTTCACCACTGTGCCCCCGGGAGAGGGAAGCGCTTGGTGCTGTCCCGCATGTTCCAGCCCCAGAAACTTCGGGAAGACCAGGTGCTCTCTCTTGAGGGCAGATCTGGTGACCTGACCTGTAAGAGCCAGCGGCTGATGCTGCAGGTGGGCCTCATCCACCCGGCAAGCCCCGGATGTTACCACCTCCTGCCTTACACTGTCCGCGCCATGGAGAAGCTGGTGCGGGTGATAGATCAGGAGATGCAGACTATCGGGGGACAGAAGGTCAACATGCCCAGCCTCAGCCCAGCAGAGCTATGGCGAGCCACCAACCGATGGGACTCAATGGGCAGGGAGCTGCTGAGACTTAGAGACAGACATGGCAAGGAATACTGCTTAGGACCAACCCATGAGGAAGCCATTACAGCCCTGGTCGCCTCCCAGAAGAGACTGTCCTACAAGCAGCTCCCGTTCCTGCTGTACCAGGTGACGAGGAAGTTTCGGGATGAGCCCAGACCCCGCTTTGGTCTTCTCCGCGGCCGAGAGTTTTACATGAAGGACATGTACACCTTCGACTCCTCCCCCGAGGCCGCCCAGCTGACCTACAGCCTGGTGTGTGATGCCTACAGCAGCCTGTTCAACAGGCTGGGGCTGCGATGTGTCAAGGTCCAGGCTGATGTGGGCAGCATCGGGGGCACAATGTCCCACGAGTTCCAGCTGCCGATGGACGTTGGAGAGGACCGACTTGTGCTGTGTCCCAGCTGCCACTTCTCTGCCAACGTGGAGACTCTGGACTCGTCACGGACCAACTGCCCTGCTTGCCAGGGGCCACTGACTGAAACCAAAGGCATCGAGGTAGGGCACACGTTTTACCTGGGCACCAAGTACTCCTCTATTTTTAATGCCCAATTCACTAATGTCCACGGCAAGCCCTCCCTGGCTGAAATGGGGTGTTACGGCTTGGGCGTGACACGGATCTTGGCTGCTGCCATTGAAGTTCTCTCTACAGAAGACTGCATCCGCTGGCCTGGCCTCCTGGCCCCTTACCAAGTCTGCCTCATCCCCCCCAAGAAGGGCAGTAAGGAGGAGGCGGCCGCAGAGCTCGCGGGGCATCTTTACGACCGTATCACAGAGGCGGTGCCACAGCTCCAAGGGGAGGTCCTACTGGATGACAGGACTCATCTGACCATTGGAAACAGACTGAAGGATGCCAACAAGTTCGGCTACCCCTTTGTAATCATCGCTGCCAAGAGGGCCCTGGACGACCCTGCACATTTTGAGGTTTGGTGCCAGAATACCGGAGAGGTGGTTTTCCTTACCAGAGAGGGAGTCCTGGAATTACTGAGCCAAGTGCAGGTTGTCTGAACCATCCCCGGGACCCCTCCCACTATATCTCACAGCCTTGGTGTTCACTGAAACGCTGCCTTTCCTGTACTGCTTTCCGGAGCCGGTCTCCCCAGAAACAGAGCAGCTTGTGGAAAGTGAGACCATGTTAGGAAAGCCAGTTGTAGTCATTTGTTCGGACTATTTGTATTTAAAGTTGTTAACTTGATCCCTTTGTCTGGGCTGGCCGTGCCGCCACATACCCTATCTTTCATATTCCACTGTGGAAGCTTCTGTTTGGAGGTAGTGGCTGGAAGGAGCCAAGTTGTCATCTTGGCCCTCAGGAGAGTCACTTCCCTTCTCTCAGCAGTTTCCTACACCACATGTAGGTTGGGGGCTTCCTGATGGCCGGTACCCTCCCAGCTCCAGCAGTCTAACCTTGGGCCTCTTGCTGCCTTCAGTCCAGAGAGGCAGCCTGCCAGTCTTCCTCCTCTGAGAAGTGGGCTGAGGGTCTGGGGACAAGAATCAGGACACCTGGCTGCCACCGACTCACCAGTGACTTGGACATGACCCCCTCCCCTGCTGGGGCCTTCGAGTTTCCCCATCTGTGATGTGAGAAAATGGAACTAGATCTGTAAAGTCCTCACAGCTGACTGGCTTGTTCCTCGAGAGGTTCATGACAGGCAGATCTGGTTCCTCTGATCCTCCATCGTTTAAACTACCCGGAAAATGAAAACAATTGGCTAATGGCCCCCAAACCACCTCCAGAGACCTGGCTGTCCCTCTTAAGTTGGCCTGGCACTGAGATCATGTTATATTGATTGAATAAAGTCAGACTATTGGGGTGAGGTTTGCATGTTAATTGGAAACAGTGGTAACACCTGCCAAGTTAACAGTGCAGCAGCTTCTTGCCTGGAAACTCCTTTTTCTACTTCTCCACTGGATAAAAGAAAAAATTGGGTGACTGGAAAATGCGTGTTATACCATTTCTTCCCTCAAGTGTCTGCAGGCTTCCAGTGCTACAGTGACTGCCCTGGCTGCAGAGTTGGATCCTAGAGCCATGCATGATGGAGGTGAATTATTAGTAGAGGGTCACTGCCTGAATGCTGGGGAGAACTGGCAGCAAGCTTGAGCTTTCATTGCTCCTGCCCCCAGGAGCAGGATCAGCTTCTCCATCCTCAGCCCCTGCTGTCACGGCTTGTCCGTACCTAAGGAGAATCTTTCAGGGCTAAGCTCAAAGCCATCACCTCCTGAAACATGCTCGGCAGCTCCTGGCAACGGTTTCTGTCTTTGGCATCCCCTGTCTCTCCTACTAGTACTGACACCTTCTCACTCGGCGCGCACAGCTCACTGTATGGCTGCTAGCCTCTTGTCATTGATGGTCAGCTCCCTGAGGCTGGGGTCCTAGGCTGACTCCTAGTGTACTGAAGTGTTGTCTTGGCCTGTTGTTCTATCTGCCAAACAGCTTCCCAGCAGCTTGTGACCCCTGATCCTGCCAGAGTAACCTCACCCCCAGCACACACCATCAGGGTTCCTAATGAATGTAGACACCAGGCCCTAATGACTCCCAGGCTACCACTGGGCTCTGGGCCAGCATTCAGGCCAGGAGACGGGATTCTGAGAGCAAACCTAGAGAGGCTGGATTGTAAGACAAGGCTCCTACTCTTGGGTGCACAATGGAATCCCCTGGGTCCCACCCCAAGGTTCTGTTCTGGGGTGTGGCTTGGGCGTCAGCAGTTATTAAAATTCCCGATGATTCTAATTCACCAACGTTGTGGAACATCCTCTGAGCCCACTTTGCAGGGTTGAATGTTTGAGTCATTTCAGTTGTGCATTATCAGGTTGACGTGAGCTCTCTGCTTTCAGCACTTATATATACTATATTCAGATCTTAAAACTGTGCAAGGCAAGTGCTGTGAAATCCTCATTTTACAGATGAAGAAACTGGAAGCTCCATTTAAGCAGTTTAAGAATGCACAGCTATTAATGTATCAGAGCTAGAATCTGGGTACTGACCAAAACCTGTGCCTGTCTCACTATACTGCATGGCCTCTGCCTGGACAAAATGATTGCAGTAAGTAAAATGGATTATGTATGTCTGATCAACTTAGCCTGAAGTAGAGAAATTAGAATTACGTGCAAATGAGCACTTTCAATATTTTTTTAAATTTAAATTTGTGCTACATAAGCATACTTTATGGAAGGCTAGCCTAATGTAAGAATAAGCACTTCTAAAAATCAGCTTCAGGGAATAGGGAACTAGTTAATTTAAAACTCTCATAAATGTGTATGATATGGAATGATTTTAGGGTAAGGTAGAATCATGGAACTTTAGAACAGGAGAGCTTGCAGCCTGCTTGTCCAGCCCTCACTTCACAGATGGGAGACAAGCCTGCAGTGGGAATTAACCTGCTGCAACCCATCTGACTGGCAAAACTGCCTGATTGCAGACCAGGTGCTGCATCTCCTGAATTAGGCTACCTCGGGTAAATCTTGTTGCCGGGAGTGACGGCTGGTTGAGTCAGCATTTGAGCTACAGGGGCCTTTATGTTTGAAAGAGATACCCATTTTCCAAGGGAGACGCATACAAGGAGCACAGTTATTTGCTCAACATCCAGCTGAACTGAAACCCAGGTGTCTTGATGACTTATCAAGTGTTTTTTACGGTAGCCAGGGGCAGTATAATTTGGTGGAAAGATTAGGACCTTGAATAGACAATCAGTTCTCCACTTAGCAGGTATATGATCATAGACAAATAACTCGTCTTTTGTGCATCTCAGATTCTTCATCTGTGAGATGCTTTCACAATGGCACCCACGCTTCCTTGGGTTGTCTGAGGGTTGGCTGAGCTGACTTATATGAAAAGCTTAACCCCTAGTGTGCTTTCTGGAACTATGATGACTTGCATGGGATGACTTAGGAAATAATCCATTGGGAGCTCAGGTTCTGCTGTTAACATCGAGACCTGGGTTTTGTTTGTTTGTTATGTTGCTTCACAACTTTCCTGGGGAGTGGCACGAACAAGAATTAAGTGACATCTGCAGAATGGTTCCATCTCCTTAGAGGAAAGACAGAAATATTCAAACCGTGTACATTCCTCTATCCTTTCTGAACTTGCCAACATTACTTCTTGCCATAAATTGATGAAATGGGGTTGCTGGCAAAATAACAGGTACAGGCTGTATTATCATTGCTCATTCCTTGGGGAGATGGAGAAGCAACTGGCTGGGAAATATTTAACAGAATTAATACTTGGGGACAAAGGCTGGTGTATAACAAAACCATCGTGTAAATCAAGCCTCGAATGTAAATCAAGGGCCCCGTTAATATTCGGTGTTTTAATGGAAGAAACACCTGCTGGGCTATCAATAAAGGAGCTTTGTGGAAATCTTGAAATTGTCATTTCCTTAACTACTTGAGCGCCAGGCCTCTTCAGTTTCCCCTGTCCATTTCTACTCCTAGAGGCCAGGATGCGTTTTAGAATTTGTTTGCATCTAAGGGCACACAGGACTTTGAGAATTAGGAAAAGAATTTAAGTTTTCTATAACGTGGAAATTGGGGGGGGAAGCATTTTTATGATGTTATTGCAAAATTTTGGGAGAAGATTGAAGTATTTCACTTAATTTAAAATAGTAACGTAGAGCACAGTGACCCAGACAGAGACACTACTGTCAGACTGCCTGGGCCATTTAGCAGCTGTGGGACCTTGTGCAGGACACTTCTTGTGCCCTTTTCCTCACTGGGAGAACGGGGACAGCAGGGTCTGCTCACAGCAGGTGCTTGGGAAGTGTAGCTGCCCTTCTGGAAGGTTCTGGCGGGCAGTGTGTGTGGCCAGCACAATGGGGTGGGCACTTTCAGGCTCCGACATTCAGGCACCACCTCCATGCAGGGGTGGTGTCCACTCATATTAAGCCAGCAGCTTTCAAGGTGCTAATGAGCTTGTGATCAGAACCTTGTAGGGCTGGGAGAGTGGGGTGGAGGCACTTACTGGTTAACTGTTAAGCCCGTGGGCTGAGGGGAGTGCCATGGGCAGGACGTTGGCTGCTGATAAGGGTTTCAGCAGACTGAATTCTACCCAGGCAGACATGTCAGAGACATTGCAGGTCATACTGCCAAACTTTTACCATAACCTTGGAGTGAGCAGGCAAGGGCCTCTGGTTTGTTGCCAACCCCTGGAAGCAGGGGCCCAGTCTTGCTACTGTTGGTATCTCCTGAGGGACTGAGGGGAGTCCTGAATTCAAGTCATGACTCACTCTTCACTAGCTAGCTGGCACTGTAAGCTACTTATCCTCTCTATGCCACTTTTCTTCTCAGTAAAATGGTGCCTTGCCTCCCAGAGATTGGGAAGATTGAGCCATCCACACGAAGCACCTGGAATGCTCTCTGGCACACCTAAGTGCCCAGTACATGGCAGTCATTACTGGTAAGCCTGGGAGCATGTGTGCTGCCCCCGGAATATGCCCTTGCAAGGCTCCTGCCTTAGCTTGAAATCCCTCCCACCTCACCAATCCCTTCAATTGAATGGCCCACATCCCCTATGTGTGGTGGCCTCCCTCCACCTCCCACCCCTGGTCTGTTCAGAATTCACCACTCCTTCCTGTGTCATCAGTAATTGTTATACACCTGCTGTGTGCTGAGGAGGTGCTGTGCTAGGGCCTGGCAGGGCACAATGCAGAGTTCAGCGTACTTGACTCAAGTTTCCAGAGAAGTGGGAGCAGCCATTCAGTAATCAAGTACAGGGCAGTAAGCAGAGAGGAGAGAGGGCTCATGGGATGTGTGGTAAGAGGCAGGTCAGCAGTGCTTCCTGGAGGAGGCAGCTGGACCTGATGGAAGGTCCTGATAGGTATTAAATAAAGGGAGGAACAGTGGGAATGGAGGGAGGGGAAGTGAGTCTTGGAACAGTGTACAAAAGCCGTAAGCTAAAACCATGGCAAGACTGGAGAATAAAATGTGTGTCATAAACTCTTGGTATGAGGCAAGCTGTGTTCCATGTACTACACACACATTAATTCATTGAATTCTCACAGCATCTGCACGAGGAAGGTGCTGTTATCCTCAAGTTGCATATAGGACTGGTGCCTGAGGCCACTCAGCTAGTGGGTCATGGGGCTGGAAGTAGAAAGCAGACGGCCAGGCTCTAGAGCTGATACTCTCACTTCTGCACCCTCTTACCATAGCTGAACTGAGGCCAGGATGGCTAGGCTGAGGCTGGAGACGGAGGGAGCCATAGAAATGGTGAAGAGCCAGATACTGACAGGCCTTGAATGTCACACCAAGAGTGCAGCAGGGGCGCAGACAGACTGTGGCTGAATTTCTATTTATTGGAAAGTTCTCAACCCAGGATTAGGTTTAAGACACCCACTCAACAGCATGACCCTGAAGGCAGAAGCTACCTGATACCTTGCCCTTGGTTCAGTTCAGTCGCTCAATTGTGGCCAACTCTTTGTGACCCCATGGACTGCAGCACGCCAAGCCTCCCTGTCTATCACCAACTCCTGGAGTTTACTCAACACTCATGTCTATTGAGTCAGTGATGCCATCCAACCATCTCATCCTGTTATCCCCTTCTCCTGCCTTCAGTCTTTCCCAGCATCAGGGTCTGTCAGTTCTTCGCATCAGGTGGCCAAAGTATTGGAGTTTCAGCTTCAGTCCTTCCAGTGAATATTCAGGACTGATTTCCTTTAGGATGGACTGGTTGGATCTCCTTGCAGTCCAAGGGACTCTCAAGAGTATTCTCCAGCACCCCAGTTCAAAAGCACCAATTCTTTGGCGCTCAGCTTTCTTTACAGTCCAACTCTCACATCCATACATGACCGCTGGAAAAACCACAGCCTTGACTATATGGACCTTTGTTGGCAAAGTAATGTCTCTGCTTTTTAATATGCTGTCTAAGTTGGTTGCCCTTGGTTGGTGCCCATTAAATGTTGGTAAAGCCAACAGAAGGAAAGGAACCTGAGAGAGGAGGCAGGTAGGCTCTGGAGTGAGATGCTTGGGTTCAGATCCCAGGTCTGATACTCCCTGGTGAGACTGTGTGCCTCCATCTTACTTATAAAATTGGGATCCTATAACTGAGAACGTGGCTTAGGATGAGGGTTTGCACAGTGCTTGCTCTCCATGACAGCCATTTATTGTCTCTCTGCCTGCCCTTGTGCACCTCCAGAAAGTATTTAATCACGGTGTGGCCTTAAGCCAAGTGTTTCATCACGGTGTGTCCCCAACCAAGTTCTCCAGCTGACACCCTAAATCCACGGAGGTAACCAGACAGGTTGGGGAGGCCCACCTCCATCCCTGACCCTTTGCCCTGAGAAGGGCTGCACTCTAGTCTTGTGGGAAGAAGGGTCCCTGGGATGGTGGGAAAGGCTCTGCCTCAAGTTGGGGATGCCAAAGATGCTGGCTCCTCAGCCTCGCCCTGGTCCTTCCTCTAAGCCTAAGTTTCCTCATCGTAAGGTGAGGTGGAGGAGGGTTAAGTCCTGTGGGGAGCTCCGATTCAGCTCTGCTGGAATCCCAGGCATGGGCAAGTGGCCAAGGGGGCACCAGGCGAGGCACGGCCCACAGGCCCCACCACACCCATCCACTTCACAAGAGGGCCACCTGTCCCGAAGCCCGCAGGCCTCGCCCCTCTGGAAGCCCCCCGCTCCGGCGCTCACCCTGGCTGCCCATCACCATAGCCACTGCAGTGGAGCAAGGCCGGGCCAGGCCTTGCTGTCTGGAAGGGCACAGAATCTAGCTGGGAAATGAGAGGGTGGCCTGTGTGGCCTGAGCCAGGCTCAGGATGGAGGCGGGACTTCAGCTCTACAGCCACAGCCACAGCAGGGACCTGCACCTGGAAGGAAGCTGCCTGGTTCTTTGTGAGCATTCCACGGCGAACTGCCCTTCACAGACGACAGCACGCACAGCAGAAAACCCTAAGTTAGTCCATCTTAAGAAGAGCAGCTGGTTTCAGTTTAATGATGCATTAGTTAGCTTTGCTATAGTAACAAACAACTCCCAAATCTCAGCGCTTATTATTAATACAACAAATATTTACTTCTCATTCATGTCACAGTCAATGGCTGCAGGCCAGCTGCTTCAGCTCTGCTCCACGTGTTTTGGCATCCAGCTGAAGGAACAGCCCCACCCTGGGAAATACATTCCCAGGCAGAGGGAAAAGAGCATGAGCCCACCACGCCATGCTCTGCAACTCTGCCTCGACATGTCCACTCACATCCCTCCGCATCAGGAGAAGGGACGAACCCTCCTCACTTTTCCTCTAGAAAGGAGGAGGAAAAGAGTGGTAGACAAAAATACAACAGACGACGGTGACTCAATGTGCAAAAAGATTTTCCAGCTTAAAAGGCATAAAATTCTAAACAAATGTGAAAAGTGATATACTGTCTAAGTATGTTACAGGTCTCCATATTGCAAAGATCAGGAAATATGGCAAACTTTTTAGGGGTTCTAGAGGACCCTCAATGTGCAAATCTTTATAAAAGATGGAGAAATAGGACCTGGCTTCCCAGCCCCATCTCACCCCAAGGCACCTACACGATCCCAACAGAGCAGGCCTCTGTGCTCATGATGGACCTCTTAGCATTAACACCTTACAATCACATACGTGGTTGTGTGTGTGTGCAGTGTGAGGCACACAGCGGCAGAACCACGTCACTGGATCATGAGTCTTCAGGTCAGAGCTGGAGGCTGGTGGTTAACACAACTCAGAGTGAGTCCAAGGATGTCATAAGCAAGGCACAGAGTTCAGTAGCAAGAGAGGAAAGTGAAGGCCTGCTAGAGCTCAGCAGTCTGTCCGGAGAGGCTGAAGTTCAAGAAGGCAGCAGCTCCCCCACAACCATGATGCAGGGAAGGCCTGTCCCTGGGGTGGCAGGAATAAAGTGCTGGGTTCAAGGAGCAGATCTTGCTGATTCAGGAGTGCTGGACTCCAGGCTGAGGTGGGGGAGGGAGGAGGTCCAGGGAGCCTGGCTCCCACAGCATGGCCCAGTCACTTTACCTGGTGTACCTTTTTCCCCCGGAGATAATTCCTACAAAAACCAGAGGATCCTACACAAACCAAAAATGTTGGTGTCAGGGCTTTTACAAAGAACCTGCAGTGAACACAACAAAAGAGAGGGATAATTGAATTACAATCTTAATCATCCATGGACTTTCCCAACAATAGTCAAGGTGAACCCTTAGATGTGAGCCAACATTAAAAAGCAAGTTTAGCACATTTATTTGCTTGGTTGTTTATAAGTCTGCAAATTAGCATGACCCCCTCCCCATTAGAACCTAGCCAGAACCTTTGGGCCAGTCCTCTTGGCCCTCTAGCATCATGTATGTTTATGGCTAAACATGAAATAAAATAAGAACATGCTTTCATTCCTTCATTCAACAGTACGCACCCAG